CATCATCTGCTATTCGGTCGCAGCATTGGCTTTCTTCTTCTGTTCGTTGCCGCCCATCAGCGTGGGGGTGATGGAAACGACCCCAATGAGGAACATAGCTGCAATGGAGTTGAAGTCGTATAGATCCGTCACTGACTGCAGCTCTGCCAGAGCTATTCCTGCCTGTGCACGATACAACCACAGAAACAATGTCACCTCACTACATGCCCTGAAAGTTGCACATTGTGCCAATTACTACATAAAACGGTCAACAACAAATTGGTAACTGAATTCTGAATTTCATCTAACTTATCATCAAATAGAATAACTAATATAACAAACACTCGAATTGTATTGTACACACTAGACCATCAGTTTCCAAGCTTATAACTTATTTGTTAGTGACCCCAAAGTTTAGTGGCTCTTAGGTAAAGCGAAATTAGGAAGAGAGTTACCTTGACAGTGATATAAGCAGCGGGGATGAGCCCAATGACGGTCGCCAGGAAGAAGATGTGGTAAGGCACATCTACAATAGGCGATGCCACATTGATGAATGTGTTTGGCAATGTAGGAGTCAGTCTCAAGAACAGCATGTAGTTCAACAATCTCTCCCTTCGACGTGCCACCTGCCAAGAAAATCAACAAAAGAAGAAGAAAAAAAAACAGTAATGCCACAACTTAAAAAAGATTTTGATAGTCAACTGCAGCTACGGTTAATAGAGATTTGATTTTCCTCACCTGCTCTTGGAAGAACACGAGCTTGTCAGGCCAGAGAGTGAAGACCAGAGGGCGGCCAACGATCTTTGACAGGAAGAAGCAAGAGGAAGCTCCAGCAGTGGCAGTGAACACCACCAGAGCTACACCTTTGAAAACCCCAAAGAGGGCTCCGGCCAGCAATGACATGAACACAGTCCCCGGGATCATAAACGTCTGCATGAAGACATAGACCACACAGTAGCCGACTAGAACTTGTGCCGTGTAATCACTGGTGTAAGTCTCAAGGTGATCCCTGCCACCAAAACAAAGACAGATATTTGGACATGTCAAACAAGCAGAGTGAGTCAATGTCCAAAACACGGATGGCACAATCTGAGCTGTAAAAGGAAACATGCATTCTCTTCAATCAGCGCTCGGAAGCTAGCTTCAACACTATGCTTCAAATCAGAAAGTAACATGAGCAATTTATCAATAGAATCCTAGTAAAATCAAGAATTTAGAGAGACCAACTGACATAAACACAACATGCAAGCAATGTTGCAACGTTCAAAGTGGCTATATTCACTATGAACAGCTAAATCTCAGAAGTCAGAACAATGATCTTCCCTGCTGCCCCTGATCAATCATGTGAACTACCGCATTCTCGATCTAACAATCTCAATCGACTAATGCAAGCAAGGAAACAGCCCTAATCACTCTTGATAAGACAACCCCAGATCTCTCAGTCAGCTTAATCTCACGAAAAGACATCAACTTCCAGCAGAACCCAGATAGGAGAAAAGTCGCAAACCTGAGGATTTGGAGCTCCTCGAGGTTACGAGGCAGCTTGAGGAAGCTGTAATCGGACGGCGGGAGGGTGAGGTAAACGAGGATGAGACACACCGCGAATCCGAGAATGACGAAGGCGCCAACGGCGGCTTCCCAGAAGCTGAGAGGAAACCCAGATCGAACAACATTATTCACAGTCCCATTCCCACTATTCGATTGATTTCTCCCGCCCTCCATTGATTAATTTACCCTCGTCTTCTTCTTTCCTCCCCTTTCTTTGCGTTGACAAATCTGCGCTCGGAGGAATAATGGAGGAAAGAAGGAGGGAGGGCTGGCTCGCCCTCTTAAGGGTTTGATTTTGCTGCTCAAGCACTTCTTCTTGTTGTTATTGCTGTAACGGGGATTGGGATTGAAAGGGATGGGAGGGAAGGGGATGAAGAGAGGATATTCTGGGGAAGGGGATGAATATATGTGTTGGAATTGTTCTGTTTCCTGTGGGTAATGTGTCCTTCATGCAAAATTTACATTTTTTTTTTACTATATGGTATTATTGTAAAATTTGTACCTATAGGCCATAACTTACTTTGGGATAAAATTAATGTACCTTGTATTGTTGTTTTGCCGCCAGAAAATTTGAGTTGAACATAATGAAATTGTATCTTTGTTTTTTTACACAAATGATTATTAAACACGATTCACACTTCTTTGAACAAAATTCAAATAAGAGTGTTTGATATTTTTGATGATCTACGAGATAAATCTATATTAAATTAACTCTATCCCTATGAAGGTTCAGTGAGAGCTCCAAGACTATAACTATAACTATGACACATTTGCAGAGGAAAAGAGGAAAAACATAAAGCTTGACAATATGTTGTTTTGAAAATATTTGCACAGAAGAAATGAGTTCATCATGATCTATTGGATCTACAAATTTTTGGAGGGAGGGAGGAAATGCAGGACCAAAAAATATCACCTCATACTACCCTGGTATATGTGTGGTATCTATGTGGTACACAATGTTGAAAGTTGTAAATGACAGTTAGTATATTCTTACTATTATGTTATTTATACCATATGATATGTTCTTATTTAATACCAATCAATACCATATGATATAAACTGGTAATAAATGTCTCAATTTATTCGTTCCAAAAATATATATAATTGAATATCATTTTGAATAGCACAATTAATATGATTTATCTATGCAAAAAAAAAAATCCAACTTAAATGAGAGATAAATCATTTGTTAAAAATTAAAGGAAAAATATTAGAGCCTTTCCTTAAATGGCCGAGAGCCTTTCCATGTATGGTGACCATAATACATCAAATTTTGAACTTTAATTGGTAGCATTAGTCTAATATGATAATATAACATATAATCACAACTAATCAATCCATTATCCTAAATCCTTAACCTTCAATTTTGAATCCAACCCAAAACCCTAAATTGTAAACCTAAACCCTAGCCCCAAATTCATAAATCCTAAATCCTTCAAATTAAAGTAAATATTGAATGAGTTTTTTTGCAAAGTCATGTGTTTCTTGTTCATAACATCATAAGTGATGATTGATACCGTTTTGACATGAATCACATGCTCGGAATGACGATTATGAGGCGGGTGCATTGAATGCACACAAAAAAGTGGGTGTATTCAATGCTCCCAACTCTAAAAGTGGTCATAATGCATCGAATGTTGAACTGTAATTGGTAGTATTAGTATAATATAATGATATAACATAAAATTACAACTAATTATTCCATTACCCTAACTCATTAACCCTCAATTTTGAGTCCCAACCAAAAACCCCAAATCGTAAACCTAAGAACTCAAACTCATGGGTATCCAACCTAATTCGACCAACTCGAAACCATGGTATTTATTCTCGATCCAAAAAACATTAGTATTTTTTTAAAATTCTGTGCTTTTCCTTTTTCGTTGAGAATGACAATTGCACACAAAACCATGGTATTGACTAGTTTTGTATCGAGAGCGAGTTTTATCCGCTTTTGTAGTTGACAAGTTGGGCCGAGTGTGAATTTGTTAAGAAATCGATCCGACCGGGTCAAAGCGAGCTGAACGAGTTTTGGATCGATAATAAGTTTTGTCCGCTTTAATGGTTTTTATTTCTCCTTTTCCTTTTGACCGAGAATGACAATCGAACCCGAACCCAGTTTTTGTATTGAGAGTGCGTTTTATCTGCTTTTAGAATTGGCATGTTGAGCCGTGTGTGAATTGTTAAAAACTTGGTTCGAACCAGTCAAGGTGAGTTGAGTTCGGTGTGTAAAGTTTTTGCCATTCTGGTATATATGGAGCGAGTTTTATCCGCTTGAGTGTTTTTTATTTATCTTTTTTTTCCCCCTTTTGGTTGAGCACCCAAACCTATGGGTACCCAACCTATTCAATATGATAAAAAAAACTTGAACCCGGTGTTAATAACTTAAACATAGAAATCATTTGCTCGATGATTCTTCTCCCTTATTAAAGTTTATCGTTGCGTCAACTACATGGAGTTGTAGATAACAATCTCTTTACTTTTGAATCAAAATTCAAACTTTTCGAGTCACTTTCCCCAAAACCTGCTGTCTAGAGCGAATGCGCCTTGGTTCACTCACTCTGCATCGGAAAGCAAAGTCACAAACTGTCCACTAAGACTGTCTCCAACCCAAGCATGCAAATTTGGAGAAAGAGAAGTTTTTGTCTTTTTTCATCTCCAACCCACCAATTATTTGGCTTGCAAATTTGGAGAAATGGGCTCAAATGGAGGAATGGGCAAAAATAGCAGCTGAAAGTGGGGGACCCCGCGTGCAGGCGAAGGCCACCCGCGGAGGCGCGCCTGGACGCGGGGTCCCCCACTTTTCTGCTGCTGTATTTTTTTTCTTTTCAATTTTTTTTGAGTGGTTATTTGTGTAGGTTTGTTTGCTTTTTAGTTTGAAAGAAGAGTAATATAGTGACAATAAAACGGTCACATTGCAACGGACACATTTAACGACCATAAAATGGTCATATTTTTTCCTATATAATGAGTCACTTCTCATGGTTTTTCTGCACTCATTCTCAAATCAATTTCTCTCATTCTCATCTATTTATCACCTCTCAAAACAAAAACATGTCAAGCAAGAGAGGACCCAATTGGAGAGCTCATGAAGATGTAAACTTGTGCAAATCTTGGATATCAATATCTGAAGATGGAGCGGTTGGCATCAATCAAAAGAACACGAGATTATGGGAAAGGGTGGAGAGGGAATTTCTAAGAAGCGATCCTACAACAATTCGTACTACGGATTCAATGGAATCCCGACTGAGACTTATCAGTAACAAGTGTAAAGTTTGGAAGGGAGCTTTGCAGAGGGCGGAGAGGAGTCAAACGAGCGGTACCAACCAAGTTGATGTGGTATTGTTTTGGAAACTTTTAACTTTTCTATTTCTTATTTTTATGTATATTTACTTATCTAACTTGTGTATCAATAATTTTAACAGGAATTTGTAGCAAGATCGATATATAATGAAGAGAATGGGAAAAAAGCCTTTGCTTATGAGCATTGTTGGGTCATCCTTCAAAATTGACCAAAGTGGTATTGTGACCCTCAATTGGTTTTCGGTCCTATTCCACCTATGGGTCAAGGTTCTCAAAGTTCTCCCATAGGTATTGGTTCTCAATCCTCCCCTATGGAAGGCCTCGATGACATACCAGACGAGGGAGCTACGCCTCTCATACTGTCTCGCCCTGAAGGACGCGACAAACAAAAGGCAGCAAAAAAGAAAGGTAAGGTAGTTGTTGAATCGTCAGACATGTACACTACTCAACTGCTAGAGTTTGATAATGATATGAGAGAGAGGCAAAAGTCAAGGATGGAGTACGAAAATAGAAAAATTAATCTTCAAGAGAGGAGACTAGAGAGGGAAGCCGAGGAATGGGCATACAAGAGGCAAGTGAGGGAGCAGGAAGCAGAACAATGGGATGTTGAGAAGAAAGAGAGGGAGGCCTCAATACTTTAACAAAATATGAATATTCTGGAGAAGGATTTATCAAAGATTATACCAAGAAAGAAGAAATTTTGGAGGAGTAAACAAAATGACATCTATGGGTACGATCAAGATTATAGGTGTCAAAACATAGCCCGACCCGATTAACCTGCCCGATTAACCCGACCGCAACCCGAATTGACTAAAAGTCAACAACCCGTAACCCGCCCGACCCGCAACCCGATTGACCTGCAACCCAACTAACCCGCAACCCGATTAACCCGCAACCCGACTGACCCGCAACCCGATTAACCCGAACCCGATTGACCCGAACCCGACTAACCCGTAACCCGACCGACTCAACCCGAATTTCATATAATCCACTTGAATAATTATAAAAATATACAATACATAGTTTTTCAAAATAAAGTTTTTCATTCTAAACTTAAGTAAAATTATTTTTTCATTTCGTATAAGAAATTTTAAAAATATGAAACTCACTTGATATTACGTATTTTAAGAAAATTACAAAAATTGAAACATGAAGGTCACTTGAGATCATGACAATATTAATATAATATATAAACTAAAATTTTGGTTAATTTAACTATTCAATAAAATTATCAATTAAATATAAATAAAGTAAAGTAATATATTTAATAATTTGATGTTTTTAAAAGAAGAGGGAAATTTGGTTCTTTGAATTTTTTAGAAAAGAAACAAGTGGGAATTTTGGTGGTTTTGATATGTGGGAAGAGAAAGAAGTGGCAAAGTTTGATTCTTTTGATTATGAAAGAGAAATAAGGAGGGAAACTTTTGACTTTTCAACTTTTTGTAGAAGGAAAGAAGAGGGTAATTTCAAATTTGGTTCTTTCAATTTTATGGAAGAGAAAGAGGAGATAAAATTGAGTTTTTCTAATGTATGGAAGGAGAAAGAAGGAGGGAAATTTTAGTATTTTTGTGATAAGAAATAAGGAAACAAATTTGGTGTTTTCAATTTTTTGGTTTTTCATAATTTTAGCTTTTGAAATATGAATCTTTAACTTTTATATGGAGGGCATGACTAGTTAAAATTATTCTTATATGCTTTGAAGGCTAATATGTATATATGTATGTAATTTTTTATGGGCTAATAAATAAATTAACCATTAGTTACAACAATTTATAGTAAACTTGATAAGTAATCTTTGACGGTTCGTTGTTTAGGATATAAAGTATATGGTTAGGGTATAAGGTATAAGGTACATATGGTTTAGGGTGTATATGGTTAGGGTATAAGATAGGGTATGCCTACTATGACATGCATGTCACCGTGACATGGACTTTTCGGTCGACCTAATCCTGAAGGCGGTTGACCGAATTGACTAATTTGGGCAGCACGAGAAAGCATTGCGGTCGACCTCAAAGACCACCTGGTCGACCGTTCTTAGCTTAAATTGTTATTTTTGGTTGACCAGAATAAACCTCGGTCGGCAATTTCGTTGGCGTCAGAAACAACATGGTCGACCGTAAATGTATATAGGTCGATCACTTGATGGCAGTCATTAACAACATGGTCAACCAGATAAAGAAAGAGGTCGACCAGATAGACGATAAGTGTTCTATCAATTTATCCAATCATTTGACGTAAAATGAAGATAAAGTGTTGGTGTCGAGGTCGATCTAATCCGGTACGAGGTCGACCGAATACAAGAAAGTCAACCTATGCCCCGTGTCTTTTTTGCTCATGTATGTCGATTTGTGTGGTTCTTTTGCTCGTATAAATTCTTTAAACCATCATAACTAGTCATAAATAATGATAACAAGGACTCATCAATTATGCTATGAATTGAGGTCGACCGTCTTTAGGATTAGGTCGACCACAATGCTTTCTCATGCTGCCCAAATTAGTCAATTCGGTCGACCGCCTTTAGGATTAGGTCGACCGAAAAGTCCATGTCACGGTGACATGCATGTCACCATAGCAAAATCCTATAAGATATTGATGGTTTTGACGGTTCTAAGTTTTTTATTAACATATGTTCACTTGAAGTCATTTGAAGTCTTTAACGGCGGGAGATCCCTTTTTAATTTATGTTTATGGTATGTGGTTAGTGTACAAGGTATGTGGTGTAAAGTATAGGATATATGGTTAGGGTATAACAATTAGCAAATATCACTTTTTATCTATGTTTTGAAAATCAAAGTATGAATTTCACTTTTAAATTAACTATACTAGCAAAATCACAACTCAAGGACATATGGTTAGGGTATAGGTTATGTGGTTAGTGTATAATGTATTGATGGTTTAGGGTATACAATCAACAACATATACTAACTTAATATTGTTGATTGAGGGTAAAGCTAAGTGTATAGGATATATGTTATTGAGTAAGTTATGATTGAAGTCACAATAATTTTACTAAATTTGATAGCTAATCTTTAATGGTTCAATTTTTAGGATAATTCCAACAATTTTACAAATAACTCGTTTGGCAACAGTTTACTAAAGTTATTTGGGCAATGAGTTATTTTGAAATAACTTCTTTTATCACTATGCTTTTGCCAAATACCACACGCCAAATACCAGATTTGCATGGTTATACTAAACGAGATACTTTAATCCAATTACTACTGAATTAATACTAAAATATCAAATAAACAATTAACGGTGTCTTTTGGTTGCAAATATTGATATCACCATTACTATTAGCTATAATACTTTACCAATTATGATTAATTACATAACAAGTTTGCAAGTCATACAAATTGATTTAACATTTTGACTAATTTTTTTCAAAAAAATAAAGTATATATATACGAGGTAGAAATAAATTGGTTAAAAAGTTGAGAAAATATTTTAAATTAGTGTAATAAAATGTGTAAGTTGGTAATGAGTAATGAGTTAAGTTACTTGATGCGCTGACCCGAACAACCCGAAACCCGACCCGCCCGACCCAAAACCCGATGAACCCGCAACCCGATTTGCCCGCAACCCGATTGAATCCGAACCCGATGAACCCGCAACTCGACTAACCCGAACCCGATGAACCCGCAACCGACTAACCCACAACCCGTTTGAACCCGAACCCGATTGAACCCAGCCCGAACCCGCCCGATTGACACCTATAATCAAGATGATCCCAACTCTAATCCAAGAGATGGTGGAGGAGATGGAGATGAAAGTGGAGGTGATTACTTTCTTGTTATGGATTATGATTAGAAGAAGGTCCTATGTGTACTATATTGTATTTATTGCTTTAATGTGGTGTGTTGTGTGTTGTATTTGAACTTTGTTGTTTTCATGTGCTATGTGTACTCTTTGAACTTTGAGCTTTTCATGTGTAATAAAAAAACTAGTTGCTATTGAATCTTCGGACTAACTACAAGACACACTTTATTGAAACTTGAAATACAAACTACCAAACGACATGAAGTAAAATTAATATTGAAACAAGCAATACAATCCATAATTAAACAATACTAGTTATTGCCCTGTAAATTCCAAAGATTCTCAACCAAGTCATTTCGAAGCGCATGATGTGTTGTTGAGGAGCGAATCCTATTATTTCTAGCCAAATAATCAACCAGAGTTGGAACGTGTCGGTTGATTGGTTGAGGTTGTTCATGGACCTCATAATCAAGGTCATCATCCATCTCATCATCAGAATCAACTTGCTCATCCTCGATTATCATGTTGTGTAATATAATGCACGTCAACATTATATTGTTAAGTGTGACAACATCCCAACCTCTTGCAAGGCCACGAACAATTGCCCATCTTGCTTGGAGGATTCCAAATGCCCGCTCTACTTCTTTGCGGTGTGCTTCTTGACGTTGAGCAAACAAAGCCTCTTTATTTGACCTTGGATTGCTGAAGGTCTTCACTAAAGTCGACCATGAGGGATAAATACCTTCAGCCAAAAATAATAGCATTGATCGTAAGCATGACCATTTACCTCAAATCGTACATGTGGAGCGCTTCCATTGGCAATACGATCAAACACTGGCGACATCCCCAGAACATTATATCGTTGTTTGATCCGGGATACCCAAAGAAAGCATGCCATATCCATGTGTTGTAGGAGGCCACCGCCTCTAGAATGATTGTTGGCCTATGCATGTGGCTGATGTATTGTCATGCCCAGCCACTTGGACAATTCCTCCATTCCCAATGCATGCAATCAATTGATCCAATCATTCCAGGAAAGCCACGTCTTGAGGCTTTACTGAGTAAGATCCTTAAATCGGCAGGAGTAGGTGCGCGAAGATATGTGGCCCCGTACATATTGATAATGTTGTTGCAGAACTTTCTGAAGACCTCTATCAAAGTGCTCTCACCCATACGAACATACTCGTCAAGTTGATCAGCTGGAGAACCATATGCTAGCATGCGCATCGCACCAGTAAGCTTCTGCTCTGGAGATAATGATAATTGACCCAAGCTATCACGCCTTAGAGCAAATGAGGGGTCAAACCTCACAATGTCGCCCATAATGCGATGGAATAATCTTGGTTGCATCCGATAGCGCCTTCTAAATATGCGAGCATTGTATACTCGATTTGGATCGAAGTAATCCCTCATAAGACGACGACTACATTCGAACCTTTTCACGATCAATGTGACGTCGACTTGTAGTTTGACGTCGACTTGATGAACCTTCGGCCAGCCTCCGGCCGATTAAACTCAACCGTAGGTGGTGAAACCTCTCGTACTCTTCGATTTCTCCTTCTCCTCCCGACGATGAGCTATCTGACATACTCATGATGAATGTGTTTGTTTTAGAAATGGGAAGAAGTTTCAGATGAGTTGATGAAAATTGAAGAATTGTAATTTATAAACACATATGATGCACAAAATGACAAAAAACGGTCATAAAGTAACGGCTACAAAAAATGACTAATTTTGCAAAAAATAATAACAAACTATAAAAAAAAATTAAAGTGAATTACAAGAATGATTGTAAATAAGTATGGTAATGGAAATTAAAGTGAAAAAAAAAGATGTGGGAAGCTAAATTTGGAAGCCTATAGGGTTGGAGAAAATAGTGTTTTGGGGAGGCAAAAATACACATTTGAGAGCTTGGGAGGTGATACGACCCTGGGGGATGTATGTTATCAAAGTCACGCAGCTAGCGACTCAATCGAAGAATCGATTGAGCTCGAATCAAGAACGAAGCGCTCTTAATACGAACTTGGGATAAAACGGAACCAACGGACAATTCCTGTCACATCCCGATTTCTAAAACTCTTAAATAACAAGTTTGCTCCGGAGCATATTTAAAATTTTGAAAGAAAGAAACAATAATGTGCTCGAAATACCAATATTGAAAATACACCATATAATTTAAAAGCAAAGCCCTAACATTTGGGCAAACCTCAATCCATAAAGTCTTATCCTTTTAAATCTCCAGTCATTACTCATGATCATAAAGCAAATAACTAAAGATTACAAATGCTGCTTACTCCGATCCGTGGTCAGACATCTTCAGAAGTGCTCACGTGGTCCTCCTCTGGTAGCCTGCTCTCTCACTGGATGCTCCTCGACTGGATGCTCTCTAGCTCCTCCTCTATGACCTGGTGAGTGGGTTGGGGTCAGTCTACGCCATTACTTAAACTTGAATCACTTACGAGTATTCCCTTAAGTGTTCACCTCAAAAACCCGTGGAAGTTATTTATACTTCCACCCTTTAAACTTTAACTCTTAAAACGTGGGAGTTGTTGTTACTCGCCACTCTCAAAAATATTAAACCTTTGACCGACACTGGGATCCCCTCACTAACTAGTCCAGCCGCCCTTCTCATACGTATGAGGGCCAATAAAGACCTTTACTTAAACCTTTTTATGGGAGTAATCGATTCAACCTCATAAACCTTAAGAGTATATCATACTCTTCCTTTAAACTTCATGTGATGTCTAAGTGATTCATCCACATGTTCCTTAAGAGCAAACAATTGCTCTTCCTTTAAACTTTCACTAGGGCGGGGGACTGGCGTTAGTGAACTACCTTTAAATCTTTTCACCCTAATTTAATTAGGAGTGAAATACCTCTTAAATGTTGATCCTTAAAGATCAAACAAACTTCATTAAATAAACATAATATAAAAGCTTCAAATAAATACTGAAAGCTCAAATAATCATGTACTTCACAATCATAACTCAAATGGAGTATCTCAGATAATATCTCAACTAAACATGCTTTATCAATCACGACATAAATCAATCACTGGCATACAATTTACATAAACACACTTACTTAAAACTCGTAAGTCAAATACTTGAAAATACGTAAGGCGTAGAGTTTACCCCCTTAAACCACTCACCTTGTTAGCTTAAGACGGTTGAACTGATTTAGCCACCAACTTAAGGAATCGGTGCTCTTCAGGGGTAAATTGCATTGGTGAACCTATGACGAAAGCCAAGGTTAGATCGGTTGGGCTAATGGGTCCTTAGCGACGGTTCTCAATTTGGGACTACTTTGCAATATGTGCAAAGTATAGGGGCTTGCTAAATTCTTATTTAATTTTTTTGCTACGATAATTATATCCTTTAATTAAACTTAATTTCATCATACTCAGTCTATCAATTAACCTAGATTAACAATCAACAGATTAAATACTTATAATGTTCTTGATGGGTCAAAACTGATAACTTACTCATCAATTACTCATATTAACATAACTCCCTTATACAATTCATTTTCATAATAACTTCTAATTTAACTCGTCATAACATCTAACCTATCAAAACTTATATTTTGCTAACTGATAACTTAAATCATCTTAACCTATTAACTTCCTAAGAGAATCATTTAAGGACATCGTTAATCATATTATTGGATCAAACATATAATTAAATCAAACTAACTCATTTTATTAGTTACTAAAATACTTTAACAACCTAATACATCCATTAGTAAGGTACCTAGTAAATCATTTACAATTAAATCCAATTGAATTAACATGTAAACTCTACAGCTCATTTAGCTACCGTCGCCAAAACGGTCACTAAAAACTTTGAATCTCGTCCCTAAAAGGGATGTCAATGACACTGGTTGGCCAGACTATAGCCACGGCGGCTGTTTCGTTGCTAAAAGCCTGTAATTCCGTCGCTAATTTCCCAGAAAACTATAAACTCGTACAGGCTCAAACGTATTCAGTTTCTAATGCGAAGATCGGATTTTACTTACCTCAAATACGTGCCTACACTTAGATCTGGATGGGTAGGACCTTCGTTCCTCACTTGGATCATCAGTAGATCCCTATGCCTTTTGCCGACAAAGCTACGTCACGGGAACAACCTTGCTTAGTTAACCATGAAGTTTGAAACTTGAAAACAGTTGGGGATCCATTGATCTTACCTACTTATCTCAAGAGAGAGTGACGGGGGTAGCTACTAGTGGTGTGGTTCACCCGCAACAACAACGACAATGGCGATGATGAGGAGCTTAGGCAGACGAAACCTAATATTGACGGGAGGGAGGAAGAAGTTGATGATAATGGAGGCAAGCTTCTGGTGTTGTTGTGAATCAGTAGTGAAGAGAAGTAATGGGAGAGTGGATGCCGGATGGAGGGATCCATAGTAAAAACGAGAGTGAGCTAAAGGTATAATTTAAGCCATCCATGCACCGACACCTTGCTCCTCTTCCTGTTAACTCTAGCTAGTTGTCTCTTATTAATTAAGTTCACAAGTCTGATGTGATAAGGGAATGGGAGTGTACAGGGCTTGTTGGCGGTTGAGTTGGCGAGCTAAAAATTGGCTCTAAATGGTTCTTTAATTGGTACAATATGCGTGGAGGAAAGGTAATTACAGAAACTCCAAATTGATGGGGTTTTATTTGGGGTGGGGTTAACGTGGGGTAGGGGTTTTCTTTTCCCTTTTTTTTAAAACTAATAACAATAATAATAAGTTATTATTATTATTATTATTCTTAATTCGTAGTTTTAATCGTACGTAATCGTCTATCCAATCGTTCATGTACTATGGTCGAATTTGAATCTAAATGTCGGGGTGTTACAATTCCACACATGGGGAGCGCTCGATTGGATTAAAGGGTAGCTGCTCGACCACGATTGAAGAGAATATTCAATCGATACAAAGCTCACAAGTTTGGAATCCACCAAACTCAAACAAGTCGCAACTTGCACAAAACCAAAGGGTTTGTTTTTCGATTAATCAAAGTCTTAGTTTTTACAACGAAATAGAACGGTATTTAAAGGAAAATAAAACCTAATACAATCCTAATAGAACTAGGCAGCAATTAAGGTAAAATTCTACTCTAAAAAGGACACAAAATTCGGGTTTAAACTCCTTTTCTTCAAGCGCAAGTAAGCTGCCAGCAAACAGTCCAAAAGCAGTTTTCGTACTAACTTCACGCCTTTCGTTCGAGGCCTTCCCGAACTCCAACTCTTCATCCAATTCCTTCCCTTTGTTCACAAACATACCTAGTTTCATGTTGTGGAAGTATTTTGACTTTAATCCCATCCATGCTCCTTGAAAAGAGCTCCAAACTAGACTTCACAAAACAGTTTTCTCCCTTAGTCATTTTCTGGCAGTTTTCCAGTTTTGAGGTAGCAACTTTGAGGCCTTGGAAAACAACCTTAATGACATCTTCTAGATCCTCAAAGCATACCATTGGAAACATAACAACTTTATCTGGAAAAAAAATCCTTGACCTCCAATTTCCATTGAGCCATTTGTGAGGTAGAAGCTTCCAAAGTAGGCTACCTGAAACTGTTTCAACACTTAGTCAAAAATCAGAATTCTTCATGTGAGTTGAGATGACTTCTTTGGCAAGTAATTTTGAATTGTTGATTGATCCAATTGGGATCATATCAGGAGGCTAAATATAGCGTTTTGGGTTGAAGTTAGTCTAAGAGATCACCCACCAACCTCAGCCCCATATTCCCTTTTCTTTACTCGCAACTAGGAAATGTTTTGTTGGGACATCAACAACTCACATCTCCAAGACAACCAAACGCCCAATCGCCATCGCCAGTTTCTCTTCCAGAATCGTCGGGTTGTTGTGGCTGGGCGTTTCTTGTCTTCACTCACTCTCCAGGTTCTAACCCTTTTGCCGACTCTGCCTTTCTTTTCCTCCCTTCATGATTCTGGGTTGGGATGACGATTGATGTTTTCCCCCCGTCTAATGTTGAATTTGCGTTCTTTGTTACATTGGATCATCTGGTTGAAGGCTCCAAATCTATCGGTTTTGATCGACTCTGGTTTTTTGGTGGGTTCATCGATTTAGAAGGTGTGATTCATTCTCATGTTCTGTTTCGTTGAAAATCTGGAATCTGGGATTGGTTTATCTATTTATTCGTTAGCTATCCTTTACCTTTGACTGTTCATTTGCATTGTACCCGTTACTGTTTATTATAAAATAAAATGACGCTACTTAGTTAAAAAGTTGGTGAATTCAACAGCCTTTTGGTTGTCCATGTGTATCAGGCGAGTTAGATTGGCTAATGTTCGTGTAAAAATGGAGAAATTTGCTATGGCACAAATAGTTGCATTGTTTAAAAAAAATTACTGTTGTGTTAATAAATAGCACAAATATTTGTGTGAGTGGCAAAATTTTATGCATTCACAGTGGTTTGTGGTGGAAAATCTTCCAATATGAACTCTTTGATCAAGCTGGTTTTGTTCATTTGATCCTTCATTGGTTGTATTCTCCTGTTGCAACTTGATTCTAAGTGTCCTTCAACTCCATTCACACAATACCTAGAATGCCTCTTCCTGTAAGGTTAGCTGAACTTGAATATTATTCTGCAGATGGGAGAAGTTGCCAAGGATTTGGCTGCAGGGACAGTAGGAGGGGCAGCACAGTTGGTAGTTGGCCACCCTTTTGACACCATTAAAGTAAAGCTCCAAAGCCAGCCTGTTCCACTCCCCGGACAGCCTCCAAAGTATGCAGGTGCTATTGATGCAGTGAAGAAGACTATATCAGCTGAAGGCGCCGGTGGACTGTACAAAGGCATGGGAGCTCCTCTAGCCACAGTTGCTGCTTTCAATGCTGTGCTTTTCGCTGTACGGGGACAAATGGAGGCTCTGCTAAGATCAGAACCTGGTGCCACGCTCACCATTGGCCAGCAGGTTGTTTGTGGTGCTGGAGCTGGATTGGCAGTCTCCATTCTTGCTTGTCCTACTGAGTTGATCAAGTGCAGGTTAGTAATATGGTTGCATTGGTGCAAGCTTTCCATGAATGTGTAGTCTATTATGAGAAATGTGATTGTTTATGACAGCTAGGTGTAGAATCATACACTAGGTGAATATTGTGTCTTTCTTTTTAGTTGGGGTTTTGATTGAATGGGTCCTTTAATGCTGGAGTTTCAAACACTGAACTTTGATTTTTTGATGGACATGCCACTGAACTTTGGAGTAGACACTTTCGACCTTTATCACTGTTATCCATAAACCATAAGGATACAAAGAACGGGAAGTTGGAAACATTGCCTATGGCTTCCAAACAAGTTCTTAGCCTTGACAAAGATTACTCTGCCATCAAATCTGCACGTTCACCAAATTCTTGCTTTTTTATTTTTGGCAACAAACAGGTTGCAAGTACAAAGTGCTGCACTGGCAGTGGCTGACTCATCTGCAGCCACCGTGGCAGTGAAGTACAGCGGGCCAATGGACGTAGCCAAGAAAGTCCTGAGATCAGAAGGCGGCACGAGGGGCCTATTCAAAGGTTTGGTCCCCACCATGGCCCGTGAGATTCCTGGCAATGCGGTCATATTTGGAGTCTACGAGCTGCTGAAGCAGACGATGGCAGGTGGGCAGGACACGTCCAAGCTAGGCAGAGGTTCCCTGATGCTGGCTGGAGGCCTTGCTGGGGCATCCTTCTGGCTCTCGGTCTACCCTACAGACGTCGTGAAAAGCGCCCTTCAGGTCGACGATTTCAGTAAACCCAAGTTCTCCGGGTCCATGGATGCGTTCAACAAGATTCTGGCTGCAGAAGGTGTAAAGGGGTTGTACAAAGGTTTCGGTCCTGCCATGGTACGTAGCATCCCTGCGAATGCAGCGTGCTTCTTGGCGTACGAGGTCACCAAGTCTAGCCTGGGATGATTCGATTGATGAAGTTAAGGTGAACTAACTTGGGATTTTACTTGTTGGATCACATTGTTTTGTTGCTGAATGTGAAAACTCTACTCTAGCATTTAGTGCCATTAAATGAAAAAGGTTCTCTCATAAAATACGAATTGTTTTTCTCTTTTTTTTTCTTCCATTGGTAATGTTTTTATCAGCAGCAATAGGATTCTCTGGGAATGCAACTAGGGTTTTGGAAATTCACTGCTCATCAACTGCAATAACCTTGTTTTTGTGGATTATTGCCTTGGTCTACTACACTGAAATTAGTAGCAAGTGAGTTTGCTGATCAAATTGATATTTAATCTAACAGCAAAGATCATATGATGTACTGTGACTGGAGAATGCTATTTTGTTGGGCATGTCTATTGTTATTTTACACTGTTATTCAGTGTATTGCTTTGCAAAACCGTAACTTAGCGGCGGTCCTGCCGAAAAACCACCTAACTGAATCCTAATTGGTAGGCGGCTTTGGCGGTATAAACGGTTTTCTAGTACAACCTTCGGTTACAATTCTTGTTATTAATTTTGGCTGTTGTTTTGATATAAAAAGACTTAGTAATCAAATTTGAAATTGCGTTGTAACTATTTGTTCAATATGGTTATATAAACCTAGAATTACAACTAGCGGTACATTTTTTTACATAATGTTGCCCTTGCAATGTTCGTTAGATGAATTTTTGGAGTTGTATCGAGCAAGTTTCAAAAATACTTAAACATACAAGTAAATTGTAAATCATTTTCGCATAGATTTACACTTTTTTTCATTGTTAATTGTTATACAACTAAAAATCAAAATTGTTCCAGGATGAAATGGATGGTCAAATTTATGATTATAAGTATGCAACTGTAAACTGTAAAGTAATATACCCAAAATTGAGGCTGTGTCTACGGACCCTATTTTCCTTATATGATTATTTATTCATCTCTCAAATTAGTGTTGTCCGAGTGATGAGGCAAAAAAAAAAAAAAAAACTCTGGCGTGAAGATTATACTGCTCCAATTACCAAATTTTGATTTATTCTTCAGCTCTCAAATTAGGGCCTAATTAGCTTATGTTTAGGGGAAGCTATCATAAATTACCAGAAATAGGAAGGGAGAAGTCTGAAATTGTCAAACTTCACCACAAAACTTGCTTGATAAATAATGATAATGACAGTGATGATGATAATAATGATGATCAATAACCATTTACCACAAGTAAAGCTTTGAGGAAACTTTAGAGGGGAAGAGAAAAAAAACAACTCTCAGAAAACAGAATCTTATATATCTGTAATTAGTGATTAGATCAAGTTAATGGCAGCAATAATGCAGGTAGAAGGAGGAGCCAACAGAGTTCAACAAAACAAGCAGCAGACAGCTGCTAATCATCAGTTCCCTGTCCCTCTTGTTTCCAGATTGGATCACTTGGATTCCCTTGTGAGTTAGTCGAAGAAAGAACGCGACTTAGTGATAAGGATTTCGAGTTATCAATCGATCTATAGAGTTAAATATTTCGAATGGACAACTTATATACGGCAGATTTGATTTTGCTTACATTTCGATAGACGAATTCATGAAAACAAGTTGTTTTTTCCTTTTTTTTTTCTTTTGTGTTGCCCTTGAATTTTCTGTTGAAGATGAAGTACTTGGAAGGGAAACAAAACTCCCAAAAGGGAGGAGGAGGAGAGGCAGCAAAGCAGCAAACTGCAGCAATGTTGGAAGTGGCAATGAGGGAGGCTTACTTCAAGGGCTCTTTGATGGATCGTGTCGCTTCTCTCGAACACCGGCTTTTCCAGGTTCTGACTTCTGAATAGCTCAAAAAAAAAAAAAAAATACATTCTATACGCTCAACTTGAATAACACTAGGGGTCGTTTGGATGTGGAAATTTGAAAACGTGGGAATTTGCCTGAATTTCCATGTTTTACAAAACCAAGGAATTGACTTGTGAAAATTGAACGAAATTCCACATTTGGATAGGGTTTAGTTTTGGGGGAATTGATGGTGTGAAATTTGGTAAAAATACAAAAATGCCCTCTTTTGTTTATATATACATACCCCTCCTAAAGGTTGTTGTTGTGTTCTACTTACTACTAATTGGAGCTAACTTTAGCATAATTAGTAAAATATGGTACATAAAAGTTACCTATAAAATACTTACGGATATTTTACTTCTTCTTTAAGCTAATGTTACGTTTAATAGTACATTAATAGTCATAAATATATAAACTTAATTATTTTAATAATAAATACATATATAAATAATAGTAAGCTTAATTATTTAAATAATAAATACATATATAAATAATAGTAAAGTTAACAATTTAATTCATTAAATATAGATATTAAACGTGTTATATGGCTTTCATACGTGTTTAGGCGAATTCGATGAGGAGAAGCAGGAATATTGACGGTGAATGAGATAATTAAGCGAATTCAAAATTAAGAAATCGATGACGGATTAGAGAAGATATACGAAGGTGAGGGGAGATGAAGAAGAAGAGGCGTCATTGATGAATGAAGAAGGGACTACTCTTGTAATAAATAGTTTGGAGAAATCAGGGAAGGAATAAGGAAGAAAGGAGAGGAAGGAAATAGGGACACATTTGGAAAAAGAAGCAAGAAAACGTGGTAATGTGAAATTACTAGGGGGAGGTGTAGTATTCTCAATTACCATGAATGTGGTAATTGAAGCCAATTTCCATGGTCCAATTCCCATACTCTTTTTGCTCTTCCAAACGTGGGATTTTAACCAAATTACTGCATTATGTGGTAATTGGGTCCAATTACTGCACTACATTTCCACATCCAAACGACCCCCTAGATGCAAAATATTTGGATGCCTTTGTGCAGAGACTAACTGTTAATATCAAAATGAAAAAAGACTACCTGAATACATCAGCTTCTGAAATTCTTTATACAAATTTCTCGATCTCTCGCGAGCGTCGTTGTTCATGTGTGGTTTGTTCATTCATCTATTCAGTTATGTCTAGAGATGGAGTCAACCAACACCTCTGCTAGTTCGTCTCAAACATCAGGAGGAGGCAGCACCTCCACCTCCTCTACCACCACCGCGGCAGGGTCCAGAAGCCAGACGCCGTCCTCGTCTTTCCCAACAACATTCAGCCTTTCCAATCCGCGCCACCCTCTTCTTCATCACCACCAAGCTCGATCTCATCTTCAGCAGGCAAGTGCTCATATTTGTATACTCTTACGCTCAGCGAGACATCATTAAAGTGTTAACTCTTTTATAATAGATTCAAACCATCATAGTTTCCAGTAGGGTTTTGTGTAATCTAATGTCATCCAACAATGTTCTTCATTTGGGTTTGGTTTTGTATAACATTATTTTTAGGTAGAGGAGGAGAGAGAGGAAGAAGGGGAGACAAAGGGCAAGGATTCAAAGAAAGGCAGCAGCAGCAAAAACAACAGTAAAACCAGAAAGGAAGAGAAGAACTGCAGATCAAATGGGAACACTAGCAGCAACAAAAAGCAGATCAAATGGCCACAGATCAGACCTCTTAAGCTTCTAGGATGCTAAGAATCAAGTTTCCTTACCGACCGCTCCTCCACCTTGTTCTTTTCTTGTTTCAATATGTATGGAATCGTACTTGAGATTGAAGCAGTGACACTAGCGATTCCGGATCTAAAAAAGGATTGCGCCAATCATGGTTGAACCTGTACCAACAAATTGCTACAATTTCACAAACACTATTGCTTTATCTTGTTGTTCTTCTCTCTTCCTCTTTAGGATAGTTCATGTCATACATAGAATGAATACTAAATTTGACAGCATGTTAACGCATGTTCTAGATAGACCTGACAAACGGATCGACTCAGAATGATTTTGGATGTACTACATTGATAGTCAGTAGTCACCTCACCTGCACTACAGGAGAAGCTACTTCACAAGTACCATGGATCAACTTAATCCAAGTCTATCGTTAACCGAAGGCTTAAGCTCTCATAACAACGATTTGGCAGTTTGTAGCACAGAAACACACACACAATAACGAACTCAAGATGCACAAATGCAGCACAACATCGGTAAACAATTGAACACAAAGTAACATACTTGCAAAATCCATTCGACATAAAGATCTGTAACGACCAATGCAACTTAAATATGCTCCTATAGCTTCTAAAACATTCCGGCATAAATAACAGTAGTGCTTTTTGCACTTCCCGCAGAAAATGTGATTGTTATTGCCTCTCTGCACGATATAATACAATATGAATAAAACCAGGTATCATCAAGGAAACTTTTTCCCCCAATTGAACTAAGCCTCCGATAAGAGGATTGAGCGATTAACCACAAATAACCTTGCACTAACCTTCCAATTCTGTTGATTACAACTAGCACGTGTGAGGTTGACCAATGTTTTCAACTTAACAATGGAAAAACCAAGTATAATTTGGTTTATTCTTTTTTTTACTTCGTTCCTATTACAATTTACAAGTAATAGGACCGTATCGTTTTTTTCGTTGTTCACATGTCCGCTATGAAGCACGACTTCCGCTTTCTAGCAACTATTATTGTTGCGACCATGTATGCAGCATATATTTATGAGTCAACAATTTAGGCCTGTCAAAACGGTTTCGGTTTTTCGGTTTAACCCGAACCCGAACCGATAGTAAGTGTCTTCGGTTTCAACCCGAGAAAGGCACATCCGGTTTCGGTTCACCTAAACCCGAAAACCAACAAGAAACCCGAAAACCGAAGCTCTCAGTTAAGCTCGCCATTGTCTTCGAAAACCCTACACGCTACAAGGCGATTCTGCGCAGGCGATTCTCCTTCGCGGCGTCGGCTACAGGCGATTCTCTTTCAATCGACTGCAGAAGTCGGCTACAGGCGATTCTGCGCAGTCAGAGCTTCGCCAAATCTTACCCTGCAACTCTTCGCCATCCCTTCGTCGGCAACTCATCCGTTCGTTCAAGATCGAAGCTTTCCTCGTCGGGCGTCGACGCTCGCGCATCTGGGTAATGCAACCCGTCTCTGATATGGTTTTAGAGTTTCCCTGGGTTCGTCGATTCCTCCCCTGGCTTCATCGTATTGGGTTTTGATTTTTGCAGGTATCAAGCCCTTCGCAGTTCGCCGGACGTCCTTCTTCGATCTAGTGTTAGGGTTCCCCTGGTCTCGTTGATTTCTCTCCTGGCTTCATCGATTTGAGATCAGCTATGGCATCCCAGTAAGCTCCTCTATCTTACTATCTGTTGCTCTTCTTCTTCACCACTTATTTGCTTTCTTCGCTTGCTGGTGCTCTTTACATCCTTCTGCTTCTTCTGGCAAGTAGTGGATTTGGGTTTTATTGTGCTCAGTGGATGGCCGTTTGGGGTGAATTTCTTTTAGCGGTATCTCATATGATCCTATGCTTCTTCTTGTAAGATGATCCGTTTAAGACATGATCAATATGGTATTATGGTGGGTTAGTTTTTGTTTTGTGTGGGTGTTAATGGTGGATGTGATGCTAGAGATCAGAAGAGAGAGCTACCGGGGACGGATTTTGTCGTTGCTGGTTTATCTTCTCCTATGTCTGGGTTTGGACTACTGGCATTTGGTCAAGCTTTGGAATTATCTATATGCTATGATTAGTTAATGTGGCTCAAGCCTATTGTCTTCATCTTGACGTTGAGATCAATGTGTAGTTAGGAAAGTAAAACTCTCTTTAGCTCATCAATTAGGCTGCTTGCACAGTTCACTTACCGTTTGAATTAATCAGCTTTTTGGAGTTAATTGACTCCATCCAAGACTTTGACGATTGGAACTTGCAACTAGAGTGATACGGCCTGAATTCTCATGCATTTTGGGGTGTTTGTGATATGTTTATTGTTGGTTGACAGGACCTGCCGCGCACTTTTCCTGGCCACCCATGGCTGGACACTCCGGAAGGCCATGCTGCTCTTCGCCGTGTTCTCGTTGGATACTCCTTCCGGGATTCAGATGTTGGTTATTGCCAGGTGAGGTGTCCTTCATTCCTGAAGTAACCAGCATCTTAGTCAAGAACTGAATCTTTGAGTCTCTTCTTAGTTTGTGCTAACTGTGAATTGTCCTTGATGCAGGGTCTAAACTACGTAGCGGCATTGTTGTTGCTCGTGATGAAAACCGAGGAAGATGCATTCTGGATGCTGGCTGTCCTCTTAGAAAACGTCTTGATTAGTGACTGCTACACAAACAACTTGTCGGGATGTCATGTTGAACAAAGAGTGTTCAAGGATTTGCTAGCCAAACAATGCCCAAGGTATTTACCTTCAATGCAAACACTTATGTTTCTTCGTAACCCTCTTGGTGCAATTGACACTAAGAAAAATAATGGGAAATGTGCAGGATAGCTGCTCACTTGGACTCATTGGAGTTTGATGTCTCACTCGTGGCTACCGAATGGTTTGAGCTAGGCTAAGGGTAGAAGATTACCAGCTGCTTTCTGTTAGAAATTAGAATGAGTGGATTTAGTTAAGTGTAAAGAGTTGCACCTTGAATTGTAACTGCATTTACTTTGTGGTATCAAAAGAGAGATTGCAATGTTTGCAGGACTTTGAGTCATTTTTCAGCAGCCATATTCTGTGTCATTGTAACTGAGAATCACCTGCCCCCAATCCTCGTGTTGTTACTGCTTCAGTTAAAAAAAAAAAACTTCAAACCGGTTCGGTTTCGGGTTCACCCGAACCGAATCAAAACCGCAGTTATTTTTCGGGTTCCTGTACCCAAAACCCGCAAAGCATATGGTCGGTTTCGAGTTGGTGGGGTTCGGTTTCGGTTTCTCGGTTTTTGCGGTTTTCGGGTTCGGTTACCCGAACTGAACCGAACCGACAGCCCTAGTCAACATAGCATTCTTGGAGGGAGGAGTATGGATTTCTTTGTCATGTTTGGTGGTATATTTGACCACCAACTGAGTAAATATAGACACCCATATCATCATTTATGAAGTAATCCACCTTCCCACCTAGAGATACAAGGCAAAAAATACTATTGTATGTCTGGGTGAACGCACGAAAATGACGAGCAGTGGTAGTTTGTCCTTCAAGTAGTTCTCGAAAACATTATGGTGGATCTCATCTTGGTGGTAGCCTAACCCTTCCTTTTTTTATAGCAGAACAAAAACAATATAGTTTTGAGGTTTCGTGTTGTGACAACACTTTCTAACCACCATAACTTAGCACGATATAAGGTATAAACATAAGATGACTCGCCATCCTCGACTTTCCCAACATTTAGTCTTTCCATAATGTGCTACCCTCTTCTTCATTGCCACCTTGCTCGATCTCATCTTCACAAACAAGTGCTCATATCGTATACTCTTACGCTTATAGTGAGACATCATTAAAGCGTAACTCTTATACAATTAGATTCAAACCTTCATAATTTCCATTAGGCTTTTGTCTAATCTAATTCCATCCAACAATTTTCTTCATCTGGGATTTGGTTTTGTATCACTTTTTTAGGTAAGAGGAAGAGAGAGGGGAAGAAGGGGAGACAAAGGGCAAGGATTCAAAGAAAGGCAGCAAGAAACAACAGTAAAACCTGAAAGGAAGATAAGAACTGCAGATCAAATGGGAACACTAGCAGCAACATAAAGCATATCAAATGGCCACAAAGTAGCATACTTGCAAAATCCATCCGAGTAAAAGATCCGTATCAACAAATGCAACTTAAATGTTTAGTGTAATTAATGAGTTATTGACAACTGTGGAAGCAAATATAATATCTCTCTTATTATAAAACAAAAACTCCCTCTAACTTGGCTGTAATTTCTTTACAGTGTTTCAGTGTACCTTCATGACAAGAACTGGAAGGGGCCCTCTACCCGGAGCTGATGTTGGGTCACGAACCACAGAGACTGAATTTCGAAAGGCTATCCAGCTGTATGCTGCTTGCATCTATTGGGTCCTCCATAATGCTCACTACTGCGCTTCACAACATTCCGGCATAAGTAACAGTAGTGCTTTTTGCACTTCCAGCAGAAAATGTGATTGTTATTGTCTATCTGCACGATATAATACAATACATGAGTAAAACCAGGCATCATCAAGGAAACGTTTTAAGCCTCCAATAAGAGAATTTAGCAATTAACAACAAATAAGTCCATCCTGAACCAAACTTCAGGAATCACACATCACTAACCTTCCAATTATGTTGATTACAACTAGCACATTTGTGAGGATGACCAATGTTTTCAACTCGAACCACCCCTCCAGCCTGACGATTATTCATCCGCCGCTCCCACTGGCGAATTGATTCAGGCGGGAATAGTTCACACTCTCCACCACTTCAAAATGTCTACCCATCAGTTTGTCCATAGAGCAATGTAAAGAGATAAAAATCAGTTCCACACTCTTTCAAGTTAGTAGGGGGTTACCTGAAGTGGTCATATCCGTCAATGGATAAGTTGCAACAGTAACAAAAGTAGTTCCCACAGTTCCTGCAAACCATCTTGTTGCATCCGCCAGTTCTTGAAATTGCCATTCTGCAAACTGGGCATTGCTTAGAATCACGAGCTATGTAACTCTCGCTCAGAAACTCATTGATCTTATTTTGCTCCACACGCATTTGAGCCACGCTTCGAGAGGACTTGAGGCGCTCCTATTGTCCAGAATGGAAGAACAAGAGGTATCAGTTTCATCAAACAACACATAAAGAGAGCAGAAAAGGTGTCAGAATGAGTCGTGATTTTTGGAACATCTAGAATGATTTGAGCCCTACACATACCTGCAATATTTGAAGCCTTAACTCTGGCGTTAGGCAGGCTTCACCTATATGGCGTTTATTCTTGCAAAGAGAGCAAAAACTAAAGAAGCAATTAGAGCACTGGGCACAATGGTCTTCATCCTCAATGCAGACAAGTTCACATCTTGGGCAATACACAACATCAGACATACAGTCGAGTGTCTTCTGTAGCATCAAAGACTCATAGTGTTCATATTTTTCATCACCCAACAACTCTTTCAATAGACCCTGTGGTGATACCCCCGCATTTGGACTCTGGACATAGAAGTTTATTCAATGTGCCTTCTGAAACATGCAAGTCGGAATAAGTCTTCATGCAGTTCCGGCAGAAGAAATGCTGACACGGTAGTCTAACAAAGTCACTGCCTGGTCAAAGAAATGACACAAAAGTTATGGGTCACTCTTCCTTGGTAAGCACATAGATGCATCAGGTTACTAACTAAGATCAAAATATTGGGAAATACAGTATTCAATGCTGAATTTTGGGAAACAAACCTACTGAATGTGATCAACAGAGCAACAAAGAAATATAAATTCATGGTAATAACGCATAGTGAATACAAGATTGGCCGAAGTTATAAGGCCCTCGTTTCTTTACATGAGACCAAAACAGCTAAACAAGATATTTCACAGCAGAAATTGATTTCCTGACAGTTGAAATGTAGGAAGAATGTTATTTTCTAATTCTAATTATGTTAAGTCAAGAGTTTCGATTCTCTCTAGTCCTATAGGCATAATTCATTAGGGGGGGAGAAGCTTTTTACCTGCATGCTCGGAAAAACAGATGCTGCACTGATGGAAATCATTAAGGAAATTCTCAAGGACCTGCTCATCATTATACCATCTGAGTGAAGGAATGTCAACATCCGGGGAGACACTTCCCGAAACTGCACGCCTGTCTCCAATATGTTTTATTCCATAAGGACCGAGTATGATCTCTTGATGAATACCAAGCTGAGGGAGAGAAAAGCTTTGAAGCCAGTCAATCCATTGATACATAACTTCTTGCCCCCGTTGTTCCATCCATAACGAATCCAGCACAGAACAGAGACTTGCAATTCTAGGACAACCCAACCATTGAACAGAAATGGTGAAATTTGGAGGCTTGTGGCTTGGGTAAGATTTTGGGAATAAGCATGTCAGCACAATTGGTGGAAGAAACTTGACTTTGAATGAATAAGAGAACTCATCCGTAGTACTTGAGCTAGCCGTCTTCATCTCACCCGATGAATGAAGTTTCGTGGTTATCGTAAATTCATCAGGAATTTTAGGTTCAATACGAACCTGCAACAGAACAATTTCATCAGAATCTTCAATCCAATCAATCACCCCGCAAAACTTTACCAATACATTGGTGTACTGAGAGAGTTAGTAAGTAAACCTGGAAAGCTCTCAAACCTCTCTCCCTGTCAAGAATGATGACATTTTCTCCATAAATAGACTCCATTGCAAGTAACTACAGGAAAAGTTACGAAAGAAAGAAGCCATGGAAATGTCAAAAGCAAACTAGGAAAGCTTTTCCAGAGACGTCGAAGTAATAAGGAGTCAAACTAGTAAACCAGCACCGTTTACCTCATCTTCCTGCAACTGATCGTTGATTCTGAGCTGATCAGCAGACAGCTCCGGCTCATCCACGGCCAACTGCAACTCCTCCAACACTCTCATAACATCAACCACGCCAGCGGATGATTCTTCGCCGCCGATATCGTTCTCAATCTCACTCTCCCTGTTATCTGACTCCAACAGATAACCCTTCTCAGTTGCCGGTTTTTCCCCTGAGCTCGGAAAACCTTTGCGCATCTCAACTCTCGGCGAAATCGGTCCATCATTATCCAAACCCAAAGTACCAGTCTCACCGGTGCCATCCTGAACACCGTCCCCCAGCTCAGACTTCCCGACAGGCTTCTTGGACGCCTTCCGGCGACGATTCGGCCGTTTGGTAGGGGCTTTGGGGCATTCAGGAAGGTGAGAGGAACCGATGCCAGAGTCTTTGATGTCCACTCTCGGCATATTGCTACTTCAAAGCTGCCTCGCCGGCTGAGAAGAGAACCTAAATTAAATTGTGGGTTGATCAGGCGGCGACCTCGACGGCGTTCCGACTAGAGAGGAATCATAGCGCTGGAAGCAAAGTTCACGAGAAACAGAAACGCTATCAGTTGCCGAATTTGAGATCACAACGACGGCAATCAGTTCAGCCATGAACTTCGACGGATTTTGGTATTTTTAGGTTTTCAGAGCAGCCGAACCTTGATGACGGTTATTGATTCTCACTCTTTCTGGTTCGGATTTGGAATTTATTTTCCAGGGCGCAGTTCTGCAAACAGATTTGGAACTGAATCCCTATTCCTGGCACTAAAATTTAAAAAAATCGCCATAAATTAAACTAAATGGACACATATATCCCTAACTTCAAACCTAAACTAAACCCAGCAAACAATCCGTCGCCGTCCACCCCATAAGTGGCATCCGCCGCCGACCAAAGAACTGCTCACGTCGAGTTGTCCTGCTGCCGGATTCGCTCCCCACCTGTCAGAGTTGTGATCAAGACCAAGCTCCAAAGGAAAAGAAGTGAGTTGAGCTGCTGCATTCCTGGTTGCAGCAGGATTACAAGACTGAAGTAAACAAAGGAAGAAAACGGCATCGTATACGAGCTGAAGAGAAAGAAGAAGAGACGACTGCGTTTTGATAAAGACGCAGGAAGAAAGAATCGAAGACGACATCGTTTCCTTTATTTGTTATTAGCCGTTATAAGTACTGTTTGTTTAAATGTTTTGTCGAACCATAGAGTGACACATGTCTTGTCTCTGTTAAACACTCTGCTTGCTATAAAAGAAAAGAGGAGACTCAGAATTTTCTGAGCTTCCTTCCCCAATCACTTCTGCAAAATCGTTATGGTATCAGAGCAGCCGCCGCTCTAGGGTTTTTCCGCCGCTGCAAAAATGTCTGGAAGGCAGACTCCACCTAACACACCACCAGATGGTAGCAATCGAAGTGGAGCAACGACTGCAAACACAGCAACAACAGCTGGGTTTCGTTTTGGTTCCTTCAACCAGACTCAACTCAAGCCAGAGACGATTGTTTTCGGTAACCCTTATTACCTTAATCCGAATGAAAACATGTCTCAGTCCTTAGTTGCTGAACCATTTGATGGAACCAACTACATTATGTGGAGTCGCTCTATGCAAGTTGTCTTAAAGGCAAAGAATAAGGTTGAGTTTATAGATGGGTCGATCCCAGTGCCTCCTCGAGATGCAGATCTGTTTGGATTATGAGATGCTTGTAACACAGTGGTACTCTGTTGGATTCAGAACTCCATGACTAAAGAACTTAGGAGATCTATTCTGAATCACAACAATTCTAAAGCACTGTGGGAGGAATTAAAGAGGCGCTTTGGTCAACCTAATGCTATGAGAATTGTGAACTTAGAAGATGAAATACAGGCTTGCAAGCAGGGTTCTAAGTCAATTACTCAGTATTACACTGCAATCAAAGGTCTATGGGATGAGTACCTCGAGTTTAGTCCTATTACTCCTTGTAATTGCGCACCTGGTAATCCTATACCTTGTGCAGCAGTAGCTGCCTTTGTGCAGAAGCAAGAAACAGATTACTTGATACGTTTCTTGAGAGGTCTCAACCCTGAGTATGAGGTCATTAAGATGCAATTGCTGTTGCAAAAACCACTACCTACTATCACTGCAGCAGTTGATGACCTTTTGCAGCATGAGCAGAAGTTGAAGGCTGACACAGCCATGGGAAACAAAAAGGGTCAAAGTCTGGCTTTGGCAGTGGGAGGTAACAACACAAAGGATAGTGCAGACACAAGAGACACAAGAGGAAAGAAATTTTTCCGTTTTTGCAAAATGAACAATCATACCATTGAAGACTGTTGGAAATTGAAGAAGAAACAGGAAATGCAGAAGGATGGAGGCACAAATGGGGGTTCTAATTCCAGTTCAAGCTCAAACTCTAGTACACCACGTTTTGCTGGATCCATCTCTCAGGGAAATGGTAGTGACAGTGCATCAGAAAGTGGTATAACCAGTGAAGGTAAAGCTTCTGCCTCATTATCTTTTACTCCTAAAGAGATGAACCGCCTCAGGATTCTTCTGCAAACTGGTGCTAACACACAGCCTTCCCCACCAACCTCACCATCCATCAATCACCATGCCTATTCTGCCACCCAGTACCCAGCTTCATTTCCTAGTTTTTCAGGTAAACCAATCATTTCTTCCTCCCAGTCCTCTACACCTTGTCGATCTGACTTATGGATTGTAGACACAGGAGCTTCAGATCACATAGCCTGTAGTCTTACACTCTTTTCTAGTTATAAGTCAGTTCCAGATTCCTTTGTTTACCTTCCAAATAGAACCCAAGTACCTGTTACACATATAGGGACAGTACACTTAAGTTGTGGTTTAACATTGCATGAAGTCCTTTTTGTCCCAAATTTTTCATTCAATCTGATTTCTGTCAGTAAACTCACCCATGATTACCCTTTCTCACTACACTTCACCTACAACTTTCAACCCCAAGATCTGAACCTGTGGCACTGGAGACTAGGACATCCTAGTCATGATAGGATTCCTTTGCTTGATTCTGTAATTCCTTCCGTTTCTAAGTTCAAAACATTACACTGTGATGTATGCCACCTATCCAAACAAAGAAAACTACCTTTTCCTGTTAGCACCAGTGTTGCACCAGCTGTTTTTCATCTTGTTCACATGGATATTTGGGGTCCTTTGTCGACTGTTTCTGTTGGGGGTATAATGAGCAAAGCCCAAGTGGGGGGCAAAGCCTAGGCAAACTTGGGCTCCCAAGTAGCCCAAATAAGGGGCAAGGCCCAAGTAAAGGGAATGTCACATGAAGACAAGGCACAAGAGGCCAAGGGAGGCCAGGCTGTCATGTGGTCCAGCGCCTGTGGGCGCCTGTCACGTGTCAGGAGTCTGACACGGCGGTTAGGATGTCTGGCCAGAATGAGACAAGAGCATTGAATGAGGGCAGGGAGGCAGAGAGGATCAACCTCGAACTCAGGTAAGTATAAATAGAGGCAGTTGGTAGCATTTACGCAGGTTGGACACGGACACACAAACTCTAGCTTTGAGACTCACTCTCTACCCAGAAACTAACTTGGGCGTCGGAGGATTAACGGGCCAAGGCGCCCCCTCTTTGTTAGTGTGTGCAGATAGGCGCCTGACGAAGAAGGGTACAGGGAAATCCGGCAAAGGGTATCAAGTCTCAAACAATTGGCGCGCCAGGAAGGGGAGTATAGCCAGGAGCCATGAGTGAAGAGGCGCCCATGATCGAAGAAAGGGAAGAAATTACGGAAGAACAGTCGGAGCGAATGAGAGGGCGGACGCCCGAAGAGGAAGAAGGTGAAGGAAGTGAAGGCGCGTTGCGGGGATCCGAAGGCGCCTCAGTCACGAAAAAAGAACTGTTTCGGATCATTGAGAACCAAGATGAGGCAATCGAGGCGCTGCGGCGTGAGGTGGACGCCTTGAGAAGGGGTGAAGGGATGACACCCAGCCCGACGAAGAAAAGAGAAAGGGCGGAAGAGACGGAGATTGAATCGGGGTGCCCGAGGCGTCCCGGTCTGTGGCGCCCACGTGATCACGGAGCGCCGGACGATAGTGGATGGAATGGAGGAATATTGGGGCGCCTTTCACGCCACTGTCCTGTGAGACAGCCTCTGGCGCGTAGCATATTATCGGAGCCAGCCGGAACCAACATTCCCCCACTTCCAGCTTATGACGGGACTGGAGATCCCGAGGATCACCTCAACGGATATTTCACCAAGATGCAACTCTATAACAGCACAGATGCCACCCTGTGCAAGGTGTTTCCGTCCACCTTTTCGGGCGTGGTTCTCGATTGGTACCATCAGATCGGTGAGGGGCGCATCGACTGCTTCGAACAGTTCGCAGCAATGTTCTTGGCGAAGTTTGCCAGCAGAAAAAGGCGCTCCTTGACCATAGGCGCCTTGTTTAAAGTCAAGCAGAAAGAGGGAGAGGCGTTACGGGAATTTTACGAGAGATGGCTATCGGTGGCTCTAGCAGTAAAGGATGCCCAGCCGTCGGTGCTGGGGGTGTGCCTTAATGAGTGCACCTCCAGTGAGGAGTTGTGCAGAGCGCTTGCGAAGAGAGATGTGGTGTCCACGGAGGACCTGGATTATAGGGTGCAAAAGGTAATTGTGCTGGAGGAGACATTGGCAGCCAGGAGGGCAGATCGAAGGAAGGCACGAGTAGAGGAGGTCGAGGTGCCGAGGAGGCAATACCCAACGAGCGGTACGGGCTATGCGCCCACGAGCCAGCCACCGCCAAGGAGGAATGATATGGGGCGCCAGGCGCCTAGAGGGGCAGGGCCCTTCGCCGAGTATAACGACACCCTGAAGAATGTGCTCCAGCACGTCAAGGACAAGGGATACCACATCAGGTGGCCAGGGCCGATGCGGGGGCAACCCAACGAGCGGAACTTGGACCGGTACTGCGACTTCCACCGTGAGATTGGGCACTACACAGCTGATTGCTACCAACTCAAGACTGAGCTGCAGGGTCTTGCGGACAGGGGAATGCTCAACGACTTCATCAGAAAGCCCGAGGAAAGAGTGCATAGGGCGTGTGTGGCTGGAGTAGTGAGAACAGGGGAGGAGCTGCCACCGCCACCCTATGACTTGGACCAAGAAAAGGCGCCTGACCGCGTGCGCCTGACGATCGAAGCCATTTCAGGGACAATGGATCTGAGGGAGAAAATAGAAGCAAAACGTCGGTTGAGGGCGGCATCGGCAGATGTGCAGGAGTCGATCGACATTAGCTTCAACAAGGCGCCTGAGGAGGCGTGTATGCTCCCGTCCATGGACGCCTTGGAGATACAAGGGGTAGTAGCCGGGTGCAGGGTAAGGAGAATGTTGGTAGACACAGGAAGCTCCATGGATGTGTTGTTCAAAGATACGGTGGTTCGCATGCAACTATCTCCAGAGATGATCAGACCATCGGAGTCGGTACTAGTGGGCTTTTCGGGGGCGCCTGCCAGAGTGATTGGGCGGGTATGCCTGCCCGTCACGTTGGGAGATGGAGATCAAAGGGTGACGCGCGCCATAGATTTTGGGATAGTGGACTGCCCATCCCCATACAATGCGATCCTTGGGAGGCCGCTCCTGGCTTTGTTTAATGGGGTGGCCTCCACTTGTCATCAAACCTTGAAATTCATTGCCCCGCAAGGGGTGGGCGTGGCCCGAGGGCGAGGCGCCCCGCATTATGCAAAGGAGACAGGGCGCAAGCGAAGGCACGTCGATGCGAGAATCAATGTAATT